CAAACCAACTTGCTTTTAAACGGCTGGTCAGGAGAAAACGTGCGATAAAGCAGGGCCGAGGCCCCTTTGCGAGCAGCCGGCGAAGCTCGCCGTCGTCTTCGCCGTCTCCCGTGGCTCCGTCGCCCTATTTTGCACCAGTTGCTCTGCAGCAGCTGGGAAGCGACGAGCGAGGGCCAATTTCCACGCGGTCTATTCGTAGCGCCGAGGTCAGAATTGCCTTAAAAGTAGCAGGGTCTCGTGTTATTTTGCTGCTGGGAGCGGATTGTTGAGGTGCGTTAAATAGTGGGTGGAAAGAAGCAGAGACAACCGTGCCCTGGCGCCGGCCCTGCCGGTGCCTGCGGAAGCCTCGCTGTGCTAGGAGCCCCCCTAAAAACCAGACAATTCACACCAAAAACCATAAACTTCGTTTATAAAGCGTCTTCCTGTCTAGAAGATTTGGTACAGAAGATACTTGCAGTGCAATAGGGATGATAAGAGAGCGATAACTGAGACATCAGGACACACCGAACGCAGAAAAATGAATCAAAATACTAAATGAAGATTTCTGACCAGCCTCATTAAAAATAAATGATATGAACTCATTATAATTACTTATCTGCCTGGAACATGCTGCTTAGTTTCAGGTACAGCTCAGAAGAAGAAGGATTTTGACCTGGGGAAAAGTACATGACACAGAAATTGCCAGCCAGGATTAAACCCAAGCTCCATCTTCTCTAGGATTTTGTCCAGCGCTAGGTGCCTCGGGGAAAAGTGTGGGACCCCTCTTGGGGGTAATCTGACCCCTTACACATCTCTCCCCGCCTGCTAACAGGGACTGACTTAAGCCCTGAAGCAGAATTGTAATATCCTCTCACAAATTTTCTTTCATTATCTGTGATAAATTTGGGCGTCCGTGACAGCCCTATAAACGTGCAACTGCTTTATCAAGTCTCAGCTCCCCGTATAGGAACAAATATGGAAAATTCTTCATCCAGGTATCTCAGCCTGCTTGGAGGATATTTTCCTCTCCTAGCAAGGGGGAAACGGAGATGGGAGCTTTGCGAGGGGCTTCGCTGTGGACGGGACCAAGCCTCGTAGGGCTGCATCGTTCTCAGGGTCGTATGAAGAGCCGAAACTCAAAGCAAAGCTTGGGCTCATCTGGGGCAAAGCAGAGGCCTCCGGTTTCTGGGGCTGCCAACGTACAGTTTGCGCCGACGCTGAAATTTGGCACGGGGACAGTTTGCACCAAAGGGGCAAGCTGGTGCGGCGGGTTGCTGGTGCAGGGGATGTCTCAGGGCTTTTCATGCAAAGCCCAGGGTATTTGCCTGTGACAGTAGGGACCGGACTTGGTCTCCCGCAGAGCTCCTTGGGGTTGTACAGCGCCTGGCTCCTGTAGGCGAACGTTTTCTCCTTGAAGCTCCAGCTGCCGGAGTCCTGTGGGTTTTTTTCAAAATTTTTTTTCATTTTTGAAACAAAATTTCCGTTGCAGACTGTTGCTGAAAAGTAACTCTTCCAGACTTGGAAACCAGAAGACAAGAACCTAAAAATGCCTTGTGTTTAAAGATGACTTGATTTTTCAATTAATCCGATTAATTTTGACTGCTCAGAATTGGTAACACTGATGCAAATGAATGATCTGCATTACTGTAGACATGACTCGTAGATATAAGTATGGGAATGGCATAAACCCAAAGAAACGAAAGAACGACAGAAAAAGGGGCCGAAGCTGAGAAAAAGCATCCTGACGGGGTAAAACCTCTGGGAAATCAGCTCTGTCGCCGTGCACAACTGTTGCTGCCCGCATTGGCAGAGGGCTGCCGTCGCGTTTGGTGCTGTGCAGCACGCGGATGCGCCGGGAGCGGGCCCGGAGGGAGGCAGCGCCTTGGCGCCGCGAGGCTTGGAGACAAAACACTTGGAATGGCCAATGTTTATATCTGGGGGGCTGATATTTGTTTTTTCCTCAGAAAGGCAGATTTCTGCCTTTTACTCTCAATACATAAACGATTGCAATCCGTGCACGATCATTGCCGTGGAACAATTGCTCCTTTCTCCAGATTTTTCCCAGAGGAGGCTCCGCTTATTCTTAACCTACAGCAGAGTATCATGA